AATCTGGATATTCTCCAATATAATTAATAGTAGGATGTTCAGGGGAAACTGCCAGCCTCTAATTTCCAGCAGAAAGGAGTTGAAATTATTTGGGGGAGGGGGGGGTGCGCACGGCGGAAGGATGCATATCCGATACTTGCCATAGACAGTGGCAAAGGTGAATGGGAAACTGGGTTTATTTACAATCTGTGGGTATTTGTAGTCGCTGCTTTTTTATTGCTTTAAATCTCAGACTATGTAAAGGTCACATGACAAGAGGTAGCCAATTCAGCATCCATCATTCCTGGTGATGGTAACATTTTAAGCAAGAAAAATACAGAACATAAGACCAAGTGAGTTAGTGACAGTAAAAAAAGAGAATAAAAGTGAGAAAACCTGGCATAATAATCCAAAACAGAAAAAACAGAAATTAGAGAACTGTCTTTAGAAACAGTGATACTCAGAACTCAGTGGTTCAGGAGCCAAATTAGCAATCAACATTACCCAAAAGAGCCACAGTAGTGTGAATTCATTGTTTCATTTATTATAGTACTATGTATTCATATTAATAGTATGATGGAGGAATATATATATATACACACACACACACATACCAAAAATGATGGGGGAAGATAGATATAGCAAAATGACTGACAAAGCAGTATTTATCAACTACAATTGGTTAATAACATAAGTAAAAGCATCCTGATTGGTTAATAATTAAATCACACATTGTTTTAATATCGTGAGCTGCAAAGAGCCACAGGAAACACACTAAATAGCCACTTGCAGCTCACAAGCCTCAGTCTGAGTATTACTGCTTTAGACCATCAAAGCAGAAACTATCTTTCAATTTAATTTGCCTGAGAGAATGCAGTCACTGCCAGAAATTTTGGACAACCAAGTTCTCTTGTCAGACCACCAGACTGTAGTCTTAGCTGCATGGGGACAAATAATTAATTTTTCCCCCTTTGTCTGGAAAACTTCTAGCTTCCCAGTGGGACTCAGCAGTTGCTCTAGACCTTGAAGGTGTCCATGTCCATAACAGAATTTAAAAGTATAATGTTTGTAGATACAGAAAACACTATTTTAAGTCATCATTATAAACCTGTATGTTTCCTTGAGCACTTGGACTCATGGTAGCTAAGGCACCTAAAAATAGCTCAAATAAATATTTTTAAAACTCTCTAAAAACATCCCTAAAATAGCTTTTCTGTAACATGTGTGGCATATGTAGAAGTCATGATGGTATAGTTTAGATTTGCTACAGCAAGTAATGTGGCCATCACAAACTTTTGCCGATAAAAACTTCATACCACCCCTCACCATGACATATTCTTAGTTTGATATTTCAGACCAGTGCAGATGTAGTTGTTTTTTAAGATCATAGGGGAGAGGTGTCTTATGGAAAAATTATAGGAGGTAAATGGATCATTAAATTCTCTTAGGCCCAATTATCCCCTCACTTCCACCAGCACTATTATCTTTGTCCCATCTACAATATCAGTTGGACGAGGACAGTGTGGGCAACAAGTTATTTTTTGTAAATGGAACCACAAAGTTAGTTCCTTATATTTGGGTGTGAGACACACTGGAAGAGCATGCTATCCATGCTATCATTGTTAGACATACTGCTAACAGGTAATCTCACATGAGATTCTGTTATACATGGTTTAGTTGTAGTGTTGACAAGTCATGCTGCAGAACTATTATTTCAGTCATTCCTCCCAGACAATTCTACAATAAATAGTATAACACCATCAAGATTTACCAATAATGTAAGTGCTTCTGGTCCATTTCCAAAGCAGAAAGTAAAAAAGAGGTCTGTTATGACTGAATAGTCAACTAAATGAACCTGCATTTAAACGGAATGTGTTCGTTTGGATATGACATGAGTCAATTTGTATAGTAGAATGAATGATCTCATCCCAACAGAATTCCAGTCAATGTAGTCACAATCTGACTCTAATAAATACAAAGTCAGAGATTAGGCTTTTCTCATTTCAATTAACAAAACAAGGCGTATTAATTTTCCAACTTGCACTGTGATCTAGTTGCAATCATAACTGGTACTGGCATGCAACACAAGTTTATTAAAGTGATCATGGAAAATCTCCCATCTTTCTTAATTTAATAGGGAGGTTTCATTTATTTATTACATACAAGTATGCCTTTCCTTAACAAAGTAAGGAGTTTGAAAAAGTTGAGTTTACATTTTATTATGAAGACACTGAGGCTCATAGTCTTCCTAGAAGCAAATTTCACAATTGTGGGCCAGGTACCCAAAAAGTCTTCTGAGCACACTACTCTCACTTCTCTCACTTTTAAGATTGGTAGTTATATTGTTCCAGTAGATCATAACCAGGCCATGGGATACAGAGTAAGACAATGAGACAACTTGAGCCAATCCAATAGAGGATTTCAGAATTCAACAGAAAGTCAACAGTATCTTCAATGCCCCCATTTTTTCTCATGAATAACCTAAGTTCCCTCTGTGATAAACTACTCTCCTGAATACATCCACTTGGAATCAGATTACTCCCTCACAACAGGGACAGAGGAATGATATTGCAATAGGGGGATAAAGGGCTCCTATAGAGAACGGCAGCCTCAGAAATCCTGGAATACTATCGTACCTCATTCCATGTACTGCAAAGTACATCTTAACTGTTTTTCGGTAGTATACTGTATATGCTTCAACATCGATGTGGAAACCACTTATATAGTCTAAGACAGGTAAAAGTAAAATATATTTGATGCTGTAGGAACAGGAAAACAATTCTAATTCTCAAACTAAAGTCAAAGGTCTCCTGCATGTAAATTTGTATTCTGTAAACTGGGACTCCTGTCCTCCCAAATATTCCAAGCCATGTAGGCTTGATGTTTAGGTAAGTAAAACTGTAAGCATCCACATTAATGCAACCCCCTTAAAAAAAGAGATTAAACTTTTATTATATGGCATACAATAATTTAAATGTAAACACTGTAGTCAGCATCAATGAATAACAGACAGTAAACAAAAGTGCTCCAGCTTCTGTCTTAAAGGCTCTCTAATGGTCCCTCTGCACTACAAAAGTTACCTGTTGAGGCAGGTTATTTACATCATCAAGCCCCACACGAGAGCGAGTAGGTGGGCTCTAAATCAGCTCCTGTTACCTGACAGCAGAAGGATTAGCCAGGCACTTCCACACCGAGGAGGAAGGTGACATGACTAATGTGTATTTTACTAGGTCCAGCACCAGCCCTTCGTGTGGTTGCCTCCCCCAAAGGCCTGGCACAGGAGTGACCACGAGCCCCACACATGACCCCTTCCCACCAGGAGAATGTCAAGGGGCGGGTCTAGACGTGAACTTTCAAAACTCAAGAGGGAACTACCTAGGTAACCCCCCTCCCCCCAACTCTTCATCCCCGCAGTTCCCCCCGACTCCCGCACCCCATCCCCCAGTGCTGAAGGGACGGGAACAAGTGCGCCGGGCAGGCGCGGTAGATCACAGCGGGCCCACCCCGCCCCACAGCCCGGGAACACACACCCCGGAGGGCCCCTCTCACCTCTCCAGCTCCATGTCCTCTTCCATGGCGGCGGGACGAAGGTAGATGCGGCGCGGCCCCCGCTAGGCCAGAAACACCGCAGCGGCGGTCAGGTACAGACGTAGGCCGGGCCCATCCACTGCTCGCGGCTGGGGACAGGGAGGAGCGAAGGGGCGGAGCAGCGGGTGCGAGGACCCCGTGAAGGGCGGGGCGAGCCGGAGCTGGGGAGGAAGTGAGCGCCGCGTACCCTGAGTGCCTGCTGCCACCCCTCGCTGTAGCGGGGCCCGGAGCGGGCAGAGCCCGGGGGGAACTCGGGTCCCGCCCACGCTCCACCGGGCCTGGCCCCTGCTGCTGCCCCATGTGCTGGAAGTGGCGGCTAGCCCCCCATGGCCTTACCGACCGCGATTCGCCTCGTTGGGGAGGAGCCCCCCCCCAGCACCCGCTGCCCATAGGCTCTTCCCTCCCCCTCGGTGTGTTAGTTCCCCTCTGGAGATGGGCGGGTTTGCTGTGTGCTCAGGCTCTTCCTCTCTGAACACGGGCGCAGAGAGGTTTGCTGGGTACATGACGCCCCCTTTCCCCTGTTACAGAGAGAAACCCCAACAATTCACCCTAAACCTCCATCCCAAGGGCGTCTTTCCCTCGCCCCATCCCCGAGTCTTGGCATAATAGTGATGCTACAGAGGTTACCCACTGATCACCCTGGTGCCCAGCACAGTGTGGGCAGCGGCAGCAGGCTGGTGAGTGGGGTTGCAATGACTCAGGTGCCAGTGACTGGGGAAAGGAAGCTGGAGGCAAAGGGGGCCCAGCCGTGAAAATACACACGGTCTGAAACTGCATTGAGGGGGACATGAACATGACAGTAACCGGGGTGCAAAAGGGGAAGGGTTATTTACCCTCATCCCCCCTAGTGGTTGCAACTGTGGCTTCGCCTTGCATGGAACCCAGCACACGGGGGCGACCTGTGAACTGAAGAAAGCTAATTTTTGTTTCCAGTGCGGCCTCTAGCTAGTCACAATTTCCTGTTGGTAACGTAGGATGGGGCGCCTGCAAAGGGAAAAATCCCCTTTTTATGTATCCAGCGCTCATCCATCCTACTGCTTCGTCCTGGTCTCCTTCGGTCTCCTCCCTCGCTCATTTCATCTCATGCCTAATAACTCCCATTCCCTAAATCCAGTTACTGTTAGACCCGCCTCAAATCCCCTTCCCATCACTCCTCCCCTCGCTTCCCCCGCACCCCACCGCCTGCTCCCCTCCACACCCACCTGCCCTGCCGCCCCGTTAACCTCGCCTCGCTGCTGCCCCAGTCCGCCCCGCGGGGCGCGTGTGCTGCTGGAATCAGGCGACCGGCGGGGACACCCCAGCGCAGGGCCGCTGTCGCCTCCTCAGCCGGGTCCCGCCCCGGCCCCGCTCCCATAGGCTGCGGAGCTTCCTCCGGCCGCGGCCTGGCGGCTGAGTGGCTGAGCCGCGCTGTCACTCGGGTCGCGGCACCGCCCTGGGGAGGAGCCGGCCCGCCCAGGTGAGGCGCGCGGCGAAGTCCTTGCCCGGAGTTGGGCGCTTGTCTCTTGCCAGGAGCTCGCCCGTGACAGCGGGAGGCGGAGCCCCGCGGGCGGGGGCAGAGAGCCGGTCCCCGGCCGCGGGATGAGCAGGACCCGGGCGCCGTGCTGAGTCGGGGCCGGAGAGGAGGCGGCGGCGGCGCAAGCCGGTCGGGGTAAGTCAGTTGCTAGGCTGCGCGCTCCTAGTGCCTCGCCGCTGGGCTGCCAGTGGAGCGCTGGGCGCCCCGCTTCCCCAGTGTGGCTGCGGGCTGGCTGGTGCCTCCTGGGCTCTGTAGTGTATCAGAGCTGGTGGTGACATCTCCACCCCCCGTGGGCTTGTGTCAACTGGCTGCTGCTTTAGCCTAATATCAGACCAGGGTAGTAAAAACCTCAGCTCAGGACCACCGATAGTGATTGTGCTTGAAATCGGAAGGCATGGAAATAATCTCTCCCCTTTCCCCAGTTCTGTTTCTTGTGTTTGTGAGGGAGGATCCTCTCCTCTCTCACGGGGACAGGGTGTGTTTTGGGGGAGGATGTGTGGGAGGGTTGGTGATGATGATTACTCACTCCTCTTCCTGGGCACGATTTTCCCAGTCCCCACTCAGTGGTAGATGGGGGTAGGGAGAGTGTTGATAATGATATCTCCTCCTCCATCCCCCATTGTGCTGTCCCTCTCTCTGGAAGACCATTATTCTTTATGTATGTTGTTGCATTAGTGCCCTAAGGGTCTAGTCAGGTTTAGGGCCCCATTGTGCAGGGCACTGTGCAAACACATAAAATGACACAGTACCTGCCTCAAAGGAGCTTACTGCTTTTAGGTCCCAATCCTGAAAGTTGATCTGGTTGGGTGGACTCCTGCCCCCATATAGTGTCCCATTGAGGTCACTGAGGCTTTGCTTGGGGTACAGGGGTCAGCCTATGCAAACGAGGTTGGATCAGGGCCTAAAACACATGCAATAAGTATGGCAAGCAATAAGAGCAAGAAGGGGGAGGGAAGACCAGGATAAAAGTAATGAGGACATGTATTTATATAGGCTAATAATATGCATACCTCAGAAGTTCTGGATTAGTTCAAAGTTTTGTTCTATATTTGTGTAAATAAAAGTATCAGCAATCTCCACTGGTTCTCAACCTGATCAAAGACTGGGTGGGGAGAGATACTGATTTTTCCTCCTTCTCCCCATAGTTCTCTCTCAGCCCTTTCTCCATGTTAGAGATTTGTGGGGTGGGTAAGTCTGTCTCTTACTGGGCGACAAGCAGGGTGAGAAAATATCGTTTATTGCACCAACTTATGTTGGTGAGAGAGACAAGCTTCAAGCTTACACAGAGCTCTTTGTGGGAAATGTACTCAGAGTGTCAAAGCTAAATACAAGATGGAACAGATTGTTTAGCATAAGTAGTTAACACATATTTTGAGGCAGATTTACTGTTTCTTGAGGATATGTTGGTGGTGATTTCTATCTATACTCCTTCAAATTCTGACACACTGCATTTCCCATCACTGTCACTGGGAGATTGTGAATCCCCCATACGTTTCATACCTTTCAGACAGAAGATTTGGATAAATCCTACATTGCAAGCAGAGGCTGCCTAAATATGTCTGTTGACCATCAGTTTGACTTTGTCAATATATATATTTATGTATATATTCACATTTTTATTTGAATATAAATAAGTTATTATTACTTTTGGGGAAAAAACAAAAACAACAAAACCCACACATTCTGAGGATAGAGAAAAGCAAAGGCAATGTCATCGTTGCAAAAATGTAATGAGAGACGAGGGGTTATTTTGCCCTCTGTCGCTGGCTGTGGCCATTTCTTCCTGGTGCTTGTGATACTGAACACGCTTAAGGAGAAAAAATGGGTATTTTCTGGATGGAACTTCACACTAGGTGTCTTCCAAGAACTACAACAATTCTCTTCCCAAACCTGAACTGTCATTATGTTCTAAAGACTGTACTTAATCCTAAATTGCATATGCGCCAAAACTGATGTGTTTGTGCTTTAGCTTATGTACAGAGGATTGACTACAGATGCATTTATTCTGTGAGATATTGAAATACATCTATTTTACTCTGATATAATTTTATGAAAGAGCACTAAGGTCTGAAAAGGAGTTGAATTACTGAGTGTGTTGGAGGAAGAAAGAACAGCTGTAAACAAGCCTCTGTTACAGGAACTGGATTAAGGTGGTATGTTTTACAACCCTGCCAAAGAAAACCATAGGCATATATGTAAACTTTCCCTGAAGCATGTAGAACAGACAGCTATTTCAGAACTTAAATGTAGATGTCTACTTTTTAAATAACAAATGCTTTTTCCTTTTTTGAACTCTAGTTTTTTTCTATCAGAAAAATAATGTAAAAGATAGGGTGGTCTTCTGCTAAACAACTGAACTTTTCCCAGGAATACTTTAGAAATTATTCTTTATTTTGAGAAACAAAACAAAACTAGTATTCAGTGAGCTAAGTGAATAACCAATTATTTTAGATGTTGGGGCAGTGGCAAATATGACTGTCACTTACCATGTTGCTAATGCATACTAGTTGATTGTTTACATCTGTAAAAATCCACTATTAAGCACTTCTGAGCTTAATTTAATTCCTTTTTTAATTATATTATATTGTGGGTTTATTTTTGGTCTTCATACAAAATTAAAATATTTGTTACAGATTAGTTCTGGCGTATGTTTGATGATAGTCTCTGAAAATAAATTCTGAATCGTAAGTGCATTTGACCTTTTCTTAAAAAGAGAAGCTGTTCTGAGCTAGACTCTTCATTTCATTAAATAAACAATTTGAATGGCTGATATTTATTCCCCTTCCCAATTCTTTTGGTTTGCTGATTTTTATCCTAAGTATACAATCAGATAGCAGATCAAGGAGGCTTAGGAAGAAACATCAGATGGCTTGAAATAGTGTCCAACTCCATATCCACTTTGAAAATAAAGATGCTAGTGCCATATGCTGCTGTGACTTTATTAAAACAAATTTCCTCAAAATGGAAACAAGGTACATAAGCTAAATACGCATTTTAGAACGTTAGCATGATTTAATAGAGCACTGTTAGCGTTGCTTCTGTAATTAAGCTTCTTGGAGCAGGAATCTTATCTTCCTTTGTGCTTGGTGCTACATAAAATAATACAGTATTTTTTTTGGTGAAGGAAAGTTAGAACAGGCTGACAAGCAAATGTAAAAAGAACCACTTTGTTAGTCTAAAATGATATATTTAAAAAAATAACTGTTTGCTTTACTAAATCACTAAAATACATGGATAAATGTAACAATTAAAGTTTATTTTAAACTAAAATATTCTGTACTGTTTTCCTAATCTAGCTGCATCTTCATCCTATATTAGGATTTAGTGACATCATCAACTCAGGCAAGGTAGAGCACCCAGAACTCAGGGCAAGTAAGTAAAGGAAGAAACAATTTTCAAATACACCTGTACCTCAATATAATGCTGTCCTAGAGAGCCAAAAAATCTTACCGTGTTATAGGTGAAAACCACGTTATATCAAACTTGCTTTGATCCGCCGGAGTGCGCAGTTCCGCCCCCCCCCGGAGCACTGCTTTACCGCGTTATATCAGAATTCGTGTTATATCAGGTAGCGTTATATCGAGGTAGAGGTGTATTGGATTTTAAATATTTTTGCTTCTTGTGATGATATGAATTGATTCTATTCTAGCACCTCTTTAAAAAAATAGTTCACTTTAAACAAAGCTATATAAACCATGGATCCAGTTCTGCAAGAGAAGTAGGCACCATGTTTTTGTTGTTGTTGTTGATTACAAAAAATATAGGCCATGGTACTGCAAGCTGCACTGGTGCCAAGGGTCTGCTCTCCCAGGAGCCTTGTTAACTTCAAGGTATTGGCATAAGGGTCCACCTGCACAGAACAGTCTTAAGAATCAGGGCTATGGTGCATATAGTGTGTGTCAAACCACCACAACAAAATATATCTGTATATATACCTGTGTACTTATTTGCTGACAACAAGCAAGTTTGTTAGCTTCTGATGAAAAGGAGCATCACCATCCCATTGAAATTTAATCTACTTCAAAAGATAAGTTAAAGTAGTTTCAAGCCCCGAAGTCTCCCTGCTCACTTATATGTTTTATAATCTCATTTTTGTCCTTTTTATATTAGATCTTCATGTAGTTGAAATCGACAGTACAGAGGAAAGAGTGAAATTGACAAAATTTTATGTATAATCAAATGCACATAGCAAGAAAATGGAACAAAATAGATTCTTATTTTAGTCTTGCACTTATAATAATAATAATAGGAGGTAAAACATTTTCAGACCAATGCGTTTTTTTCAATTGAGAGTATCACTTTAAAACTAAAAGTGAAACATATAAAGAGAGAGTGTTTATTAGTTATTGGATTATCTAAATTGATTTCAGGAATCGGTAAAATATAGTTTGTTTATTAAATACTAACAGTTGTAACTAAAAAGAAAACTGCAGTCATTTAAAAACAAAATGTTCTCTGTTGGAGCTGTAGAAGACAACAGAGGACATGAAATATCGGTCAGTGGTTGGTCTTCCATATTTGAAAACTATTGACTTTTATTTGGATTAACAATTGGTTAAAAAATAATATAATAAAAAGTATAATAAAAAGTAATATCACATTACTGACTTGCATGCTTCTTAATTGCCTTATAGTAGACCTATAGTTACTTGTTCAGAAAGTCTATTGCCTTTTAAAGATGAAAATTAAATCCTTTCAACTGTCATTATTTAATTATGTAACTGTTGGGTCATGGTGTCTATAGTGCAATAAAGAATAATGTTGTAATGCATGCTTTTTGTGGCCCCAATTCTGCAAACACTTATTCGTGGGCTTAATTTTAAACACGAGTATTTTCATAGGAGCCAATGCGCCTATTCTTGTGTTTGAAGTTAAACCTGTGCGTAAGTGTTTGCAGGATCCGAGCTTAACAGGAATAAATTTGGTGGAATAAACCTAACCATCCATGTTTAATACCAAAACACTTCATATTTTGCATGAAACCTGTTGTTCGTGTAGGTGTGTATTGAATCCAGTGGGCATGCCAGCTCCAATAGCTCTGTTAGCAGTACTGTTGTCTTATTGATGGCAGTATGATTGCATATGTCCTGACTTCATATTTGCAGCATATTTTGCAATAATATAAACATGTCATA